GTGCAGGTTTACTGAGTGGGCCAGTTTTCTACTTAACAACCCATGCACCTCCTCCTCAACGCCTCTAACTGCAGCCCCACAAGGGAAGGTCACCCGTCTTGGGCTGGGTCTCCACTCCACCTCCTGTCCGAGCCCTTCTGAACTCTGTTCCGGAACAAGCGCTGCCCTCCCGATCCCCAAGGGTCGAGTTTGAACCACAGAAAGCAGTCTGTAAGCACTGCATTTCCAAAGACTTCTAAGAAACAAGGTTGTTTATTTTAAACCAACAGTGAGCTTAATGGTTTGTGATAACAAAAGAAGAGGCGAAAATTATGAAGAGAAACAAGCCCATGCGGGGGAAGGACTAAATAAAACACCATGGGCAATGAGCGAGGGCGGGTGGGGGAGGCCTGCGGAGGACAAGGTCCACACGACTCTCTTTCTACCACACCCCACATATGCAACACCATGTATTTCTTTCTTGGTCTCTTCTCTTCTCTTCTCTCTCTCTCTCTCTCTCGCTCTCGCTCTCGCTCACATACACACACGCGCGCCCAAACACCTAGGGAAAACCCACAAGGGAAAAGTGACCAGGAGGAAATTTGCATCTGATCTAAGTTTAGTTTTCTGCTAAAAACACAATCACATGCAACTTTTAAAAGAATCTTTTAAAAAAGAAACCAGAAAATGGTCACAGACTAAGAAAGGGAAGACCCATGCTACCCTCCCTCCTGCCAAGATGTCAATTCAGAGTGCGGGCAGAGCTCACAGAGCAGACCATTAAATGTAAACTAAGCAGCCTGGCCTCGGTTGCCCTCAGTCGCTTCTCCTGTAACCTCTTATGACTTCAGTACTGGAGCATCTGCAGAAGCACCAGAAATCCACAACACCTAGGCCACTTCCTCTGGACAGGAAGGAGTTTGGCTGTGACAACTGCCATCTGAGGGGTGAAGAGACTAGGGCTGAGAAAGCTGACATCATGATCAAAGGTCAGATAGCTTGACAGTGGCCCCACACCAAGGCTCCAGTTTGGACCAACTTACTGAACCTTCCCCTTAACCCTATGGCTCTACGCCCCACCCCCCACCTCACCCCCACCCCCCGGGCTGGTTCTCCGACGTCTGAAGACAAAGACCCCCACACCAAGAGTTAGAAATAAGCTGTAAGAACTGAGTAGAAAGCCCACGAGACAGTGGACCCTCAGCAAAGGAAGCAAGGAAGCCTCCAGGGCACCTACCCAGCTTGGGGAGAGAACGGAGCTGCCGATGGCTGTCCCAGGCAGTGTGGCGGCACCTGCTGCAAGGACTGGGAAGCTGTGCCTGGCTGGACAGCTCAGGAAGGTGCTCGAATGGTCCAAGTCCCTACTGGTTTCTGGGAAGAGACACAACACAAACACACAGGGACATTATTTTAATCCACTGGTCCTTTCCTCTAACCCTTACCCCTCTGACCTATCCACCTTGTCTCATCACCCTGGAAGATGATCATCGCTGTTCCAAGTTTGATGACAACAGCCTGGCCTCACAGGAAATTGATGGGATTTCTGGTCATGTGAATCCTGCTTCCAGGAGGAGCAATGCTAGCCTGTGTCGAGGATGGGGGAGCAAGGTCCAGAGCAAGTGTACCCCAGCAGTGTCACAAAAGGAGTCCTTGGCACCCTTTTCTCCAGGAGACTTCCTTTCCATTCAGTGGCGGCAGAAGGAGCGGCCTCTCTGGGTTAGCAGTGACGGGTCTGCCCTCTCCCCTGAGCAGACGTGGCTCACACCATTTTGACCCACATCTCCTTTTCAGACGGTTGGAGGTACGCTCTACTTGGCCAGAGGGCCGCTGCAGGTTTGCACCACTGTTTCCTAGCCATCCAATGACTACTCCACTTCAAAGTCCCTGTGCTCGGACTCCTGCTGTTCCTGGACAGGGTGAGGTGCTAATGCACCTTTAAAAAAAAAAAAGAAAAAGTGTCTCTAGAGAACCTTGCCTAACACCCCCTCATATGATGGCAGGATCGATGGGGAAACGGTCTTAACTAGCTTTGAAGAAAGAAAAGAAGACAAAGGAGAGAAGTTGTCTAAAAGGTCTACAGTGAAAGGATTAGCTGAAGTTCTTCTAAACTCAATCAGGGCCTCAGCTGCACGAAAACACGGACCCAAAAGGAGGGCTGTGTTACAGTCAAAAGGCAGACTGGGGAGGGGCGAGAGCGAGGCTGCAGTGAAACACAGGGAGGACAAAGGGCCACGCAGACACCGCTCAGTGACGTTCTGACTCGAGACGCTATCCCCATTCCCAATCCAGATGATCCAGAACCTCCGTCACGACCACAAGTGACAAAATGCCAACCGCGTCCAACTCTTCCTCATCAGGGTTCATGCGATGACATGGCTGGCTGTTCTGGTTATCCTGAGTAATCCAAAGAGACAGAAGGGAGCAAAAAGTCACGTGTTATGTCTGTCTTGCTCTTTGATGAATACCATGTGTCTAGAACAGTGTCTGGTACACAGTTGGAGCTCAATAAATACTCGTTAGGCATTAACTCTGAGTGTCCTGAGGGCACCTGGCCATCCCCAATGAACTAGAACGTGGTGGACAGAAACTGTGACCACATAACCCAAAATAAAAAACACAAGAGGAGAGAAGCTATTAGATATAAAAGCTCAGCCTTGGAAATCAAGTAAATACCATATTAACCACGTAATGGTCAATCTAGTTGAAGAAATACACAAAGTATAGTACACAATACACAAGGTGATTTAAAGACAAGAAATTGCCCATGAAAAACAAGCAGACTTGGTAAAGAAATAAGAACTTATTAAAATGAAAAAATATGGTGATGAATGAGGGATAATTAGTAGACTAGACAAAGCTGAAGAGAGAATTGCTAAACTCGAAAACCAAGTTAGAGAAAATGCACAGGAGACAGCAGAGAAGCTAGAAAACATCAAAGAGCACGGAGCCTGTACTGAGTGTCTCACCAGATCTCTTCTAAAGAGAGACCATTGAACCAGCAGGTAAAAAAAAATCATAAAGTCAATTGGTAAACTTGAAGAAATGAAGAAACAAACCAAAAAGAACTGAAGAAACACACAAATCTTCAGATAGAGAGAGTCCAAGGAGAAATCTTTACATAAATAATCTGTAACGAATTGAAAATGGGGAAAGCCTATTAATATCAATAACCAAAAGGCAGAGGGCTCACTGTCAAGCGCTCGCAGAGAATCAGCAGCAGCAGAGCACAGACAGCGGCCAGGGAAGGACAGCACGAAGGCCAGTTTGTGCAGTTACGTACAAGGAAAACTCAGCAACAGCAGCACATAGGTGAGTCTGAAGTCTTGCTACAAATTCGCCGAAACAAAACTGCCAGAATGAGCAGCTCTGTTTCTTGACATACCTGTGTCTACACACTTCTGAAGGCAGCGCTTCCACGTCGCTAACCCTCGCCTTCACACGGAACCTGCCCATCCAGGCGGGATCTTTACTGAAGCAGTGCCACAGCTTTCTCTGGGAGCTGCTGGTGCGTTCAAACTGCTGAACCACTGTGCCATCAACACCAAAAACCAAGCTGTCATCGTGCCGATTCCAGCTCATGGCCACCCTATAGAAAGCTGACCCTGGGGTTTCCAAGACTCTAATTCTTTATGGCAGTAGAAAACTTGCCGATTGTAGCTCAACCCATAACCACTACACCAACCAAGGCTCCTTAAAATAAAGGAACAGGCACATCCAATGCTATGTTACTTGGTATGGTATGGGTGTGGAGAGTGAGCAGAATGACGAGTAAAATTCTATGGTACAAATGTTGGGGCAAGGATGAGGCAAATGATAAGGCATAAAATAAGAATAAGCCAAATACTTCTATCACAACATAAATGAACCTTGTCAATTTGGAGTCAGATCACAAACATACGATCCAAAGGCGTGCCTCCAGCAAGACGGCAGAATAGAGTTTGAAAGTAAAAGGGGCAGAAAGAAAGAAAACCCATCTCAGGTGAGCACTCACCACAAAGCCACGTGGTCTAGCTCTACCATGATCTGGTACACAGACTGGCATGCCAACAGCCGTTCCTCGTGCTCCAGAATCTCTGCTGTACAGGCGTAAAGCAGAGATTGGGAGGACTACACACACCTGGCACATCCTCCACATTCACAGGGGATTGATTTCACCAACACCTCAGTCTCAGAAGCCAGCTCTGCTTCTTAGAAGCCAGGGTGGGAGACTGTGGACATGCTTCACTCTGACCTCCATGAGGTCACTCACCTAACCACGCCTTCTCTGTAACTGACAGAACAAGTAAGCAAAACCGGACAAAAGTTGGGAATTCTACTAATGAGTTTAGTATGGAGGTCAGCTGGAGACGAGTGCGTATGCTGATGAGAACGTGCCACAGCTAGTGTTAGTGCTGTCCACGTGGCTCCCACTCATCCAGAAGGAATCTCTGTCCAACCCTCCGCCATCCTCACAATCTCTCCATTGGAGCCAACTGTTGGTCAATCCATCTCCTGGATGGTCCTTTTCCAGGGCCCAGTACAAACCAGACATCATTTAAAACCAGCCTCAGGAGCCCAACCCAGAACCACCTTTCAGCCCAACAGGTAGTCCCACAGCATGAGCAGTAATACCCAGAAGGGATGTACACCGGGAGATTGGAGGACAGGGCTCACCCCAACAAAGCAAAGAAGGCGGGCAGAAAAGGGCAAATGGAAAGTGGCAACCCAGGGAGGTAGTGGGAAAAGCGCTATTACTCGGAAGAACTTACAACTAATAATGATATGAAACAAAATGTGCATAAACTGTCGAATGGAAAACTGATTTGCTCTATAAACTTTCACCCAAACTGCATTTTTATTATTTTTAATCACAAGTCTCAACAATTTCAAACAACCAAAATTACACTAAACCCACCGCCATCCAGAAGGTTCTGACTCACAGAGACCCTCAGGTATTAGTGGGCCAGAAGAGAAACTGTACCTTCTGGTTTCTGAGACTAAGTCTTGATGGTTTTCCCCAGGGGTAGCTGGTGGGTTTGAACCACCAACCATGTGGCTAGCAATGCAATGCTTAGCCTGGTGTGTTACTGGGGCTCCTTGAAATCCTGCTGGGCTTCAATTTAAGAGCAATGCAGTTAAAAATCAACAACAACAACAAAAATTTTAAGCTACATAGAGATTTTTGAATATGGCTTTAAAACTTAAAAAGCAAAAAATAAGAAAACCTGAAAAATTAAGACGTCAACAGAAAACATTCTTCATGGGCATGAACTCCACCACCACCACTACCACTACCACAACGAGGGAGGTAGTCCCCAGTTACCCTTCAGGTAGAGAACTGACCACTCACCACAGTGGCTCAATTGTCAGTCACACAACAGAGAGGTCTGTAAGTGCACAATCGCACAGGGGTGTGCCCAGTCTTTAGGACAGAAAGGCAGCATCTGCTCCCCAGGACAAAGTCCAAAAGGCAACAAAGGGCAAGGCGCAGAAATGGAAATAGAAACTGGGGTCAATGACAACAAAGACTGTGAATTGCTGAATGAAAAAAAAATTGATTTATTCTGTAAACCATTACTTAATTCACAGTGAAAAAAAATTTTTTTCACAGTAAAAATTTTTTAATGAAATAAAATAAATGACAACTGCAAAGCACTGAAAAAGATTAATTAACTTATGGGATGCAGCTAAAGTGGCAGCAGGTAGACATTGCTACTTTTTTTAAGTTTTATTTAGACATATGTACAGTTGAGATTATTTGAAAAGGCTTAAAAGCAATGAGCGAAGCATCTAATGTAAGCTAAATTTTAATGTTAATTACAAATATGGCAAAGATTCAAAAAGAAATTTTTCATCAATATATTTTTAGCAATCTAGACATCAAATATATACATATACACTTTTTTTTAAATGTCAATTTCTAAGTGTGACTAAGGAAAAAAAAGGCTCGCATGAGTTTATAAACATTAAAATAATTTTTCAATCTTGGAAAAAAAAGTAGGCCCTGGAGGCTTTATAGGTTAAATTCCACTAAACCTTGTCCTAGGGGAAATTTACCACAAGATCACAACAGGCAGGAGAAAGCAACATTTGACTCAGCACAAGTGTGAAAAAGAAAAGAGGGCTGGGAACCAGACTGACACACCATCAAGGAGGCCTGATTCTGAAGAGTCACGCGAGAGCAGCTCTTGAGTGAGTTAGTAGTGATTTGGTTCTTCCAACAGTTGTAACAGTAACTTCTGCAGACAAAACCTCTGTCAAAGGCTTAAAGATAAAGACTGAAAGGAGGGGTCTTTTGTGGATCCAGCAGGGCAGGACTTGGTCTTAAGAGGGTACTACCCTTATCTTGTGTGTAGGCTCCTTTACCAAGGAGATTGCTCAGGACTAGCGGC